TTAGAGAGGGTCCTCATTTCAGGGTGTGTCCTTAGAGAGGTGTCCTCATTTCAGGGGTTGTCCTTAGAGAGGGTGTCCTCATTTCAGGGGTGTCCTTAGAGAGGTGTCCTCATTCAGGTGTTGTCTTAGAGAGGTGTCCTCGTTTCAGGTGGTGTCCTTAGAGAGGTGTCCTCATTTCAGGGGTGTCCTTAGAGAGGTGTCCTCATTTCAGGGGTGTCCTTAGAGAGGTGTCCTCATTTCAGGGGTGTCCTTAGAGACTATATATATCTGTATGTATCTCCCACAGTATGGAGGCGTGAGGAGCTGGAGAGGATAAACTCCACCACAGTGGGACCAGAGAGAAAGGCGGCTCTGTGCGCCCTGCTGGAGAGAGAGGCTGAGCTCATCGCTGGCATCAGCCAGCACAGGACTGTGGCTGGGACCGCTGCTCAAGAGAAGGCCGTAGAGAGATTTCTTGATGCCGTGAGTAAAGTTTGGCTTAGCTCTCTCTCTCTCTCTCTCTTCTCCTCTCGACCAGCAAAGACAGGTGTGACATTTCAGCAATATCACAAAATTGCATAGTGACAGCCATATCTGTGAAAATTGTTCAGACAATTAGGTTGGCTTGTGATATGATACAGTGAAACCACTGACACCTTGGGGAAATTGAAAGTGTCCTTTATTAGCAGGGTTTCCTTTACTAGGAACTATTAGTATGGGGCAAAACCCAAGTGTATTTTATAGATAGGTGTTCTTTATTAGGAAGCTCCCATTATCCAAGGTTTCTATTGACCTGGAAAAGCCTCTCTTCCTTCTGCTCCTCCTTCCTCTCTCTTCCTTCTGCTCCTCCTTCCTCTCTCTTCCTTCTGCTCCTCCTTCCTCTCTCTTCCTTCGGCTCCTCCTTCCTCTCTCTTCCTTCTGCTCCTCCTTCCTCTCTCTTCCTTCTGCTCCTCCTTCCTCTCTCTTCCTTCTGCTCCTCCTTCCTCTCTCTTCCTTCTGCTCCTCCTTCCTCTCTCTTCCTTCTGCTCCTCCTTCCTCTCCAGACGGCGGCTCCCAAGAGGTGGATAGCATACGACGGTAACACCACGGAGATGGCCACGCCCTACACCCTACGTGCCGCCCAACTGAGAGATCTTTATCAGAGCCTCACCTCTTTGGCCCTCTCTGCTGACGAGAGACTAGACGTGCTTCTCACACTCAAGTGTACTGTCAAAGTATGTTGATATATTATATATACAGAGGAGGGGGCAGAAGCAATCATGTGTTTATATAAATTATGCTGTTTGTGTTTTTCATAAATTAGTGTCAAGGTTCCCAGCAAGAGACGTGATTCCTGCATTACACCACATGATGACATTTACGTTACGATAAGCGCAACACAAGCAGTGGTCTCTGTCATTCTCAACCATTCTAACCTTGAGTCTCATCTCTCCCCCATCTCCCCCTCTCCCAACAGGAGCACGACTGTGGTCTGACTAGGGAGCTGGTGTCCCTCATTGACAGAGAGGCCGACCTGCTGGTACGTGACCTCCGACCCCAGGCCATGGCTGGCCTCAGAAAGAGGATCGCCACCCTCTTCTTTCAGTACTGCAGAACTCCTCTCTTCAACCCCGAGGCCGCCAAACACATCCGGGTAAGACTGCGGCGGATATTTTTAGATTTACATACATCATGTAGGCTTAAAATAGATGTGGTCGAGCATGATCAGAGTGTTGGGAGAGAGTGCTCTAAAAATAGAACACAAGACTGAATCATGTATGTGGTATTGTTTCGTGTTTTAGTTAACTGTACGAAATAGCACATTGTGTAAACGAACGACCAAACATGTTGTGTTGTATAAACTGATGATGTAATGTGTTGTAATACAGGTGCCTCAGGACCCGACAAGTCTCCGTAGCAACGTCTACTACTGTCGCAGCTGTTGTCAGTACCTCCCGTCCACTGACTTCGAACTCTCCACAAACTCCAGGTCAGTGAGATCGGACATTAGTTTACTGAGATCAGACATTAGTTTACTGAGATCGGACATTAGTTTACTGAGATCAGACATGTAGTTTACTGAGAAATTACTAGGATTTGAGCCACTGTTACAGGCTCGACCAAGTTGCTCTCTCCCCTCTCTCTCCTCCCCAAAGGGTTGTGGGTCACTGCAGAAGATGTGATGATCTCGACAACGAGGCTCGCTCAAGAGACGACCTCACCATCTACCGCGCAATGTTGCGTCAGCTCCACAAGACCGAGGAGGCCAGGAAAGACGGCTCTCACGTCATCTTCCTCATCCAGGTATACATCCACTATACTGTGGCCAGCGAAATGAGCCTAGCTAGCCCTAGTTGTCTCAATGGGGTTACGGGCACTGCCACTGCATATTCCGTATCGTGTTACGTGATTCCAAATACGCGTGCAGAAAATTGAATTACTCTGCCGTTTGTTCACCATAGCATTTGTTCCAGTATATATACCAGCTTTTCAGGTGCATCATTATACGTAATGAACTGGCGAGAATAAGTTGGTTTGTCATTTAATTTACTGATGTGGCTGCAACATTGGGAGCGAGGGGTGGACAGCAAAACAGGGGCAAATACAGCGAGATAATTATGTATCAATAATTCTCTTTCTCTCTGCAGGAGTGTGACATCCGTTACCTGGTGGAGACCATCTGGAGAGGTCAGAGTGCACTCAGCGGGGAGAGCGACCTCGCCGAGCTGCGGCTGGTCCGCTGGGAGGTGGGGTCTCCATGGACTCCGTGGAACTCTGTCCTCCTCACTCGGGAGGAGGCTCAGGCCCATACCAGGGTCCACAGTGTCTCTGAGGTATATACACATACTATAGGGGTAGGGGAGGGGGACTCCCTCTAATCAGGACACTGATTAATGGGACTGTTCGCATTAGTTGTGTCCTAATTTCAGGGTTAAATTGCATGCAGCTTCAGTTGATTGCGACATTGCTGAAATAGTGCTGGCAATGCTAGAGGATGGTCTGTCACTTTCTTTATTTTCTCCTTCAATCCCTTTAACCCCTCTCACTCGTCCCCTATAATTAACCCCTCTCACTCGCCCCCCATGATTAACCCCTGTCAGTCCTACGGAGCAGAGTTCGTAGCGAAGGTCTACCAGAAACACGTCCTGGCAAAGACTTACTTCTCCCGCGTCGCTGAGATGGTGGAGAGTATGAGGTCAAAGGTCGCCGATCTACCCCTGCCACGCCCACCAGAGCATGTGATAACGGCCCGGTCTCCTAAGATAAGTGCCCACCCCTCTTCCCAGCAGGCACCTACAGTCATTCAGAGCTAGACTGATGGTATAATATAAACCTCATAGACCTCCATATTATTATGTGACACTGAACCGTATACAATATTGACAAGCTCATATTATAGCAGATGCCGCTGCATGGAAAGTTTAACGATTATTGATTTCAGGTAATGACAGACAAAAATGCAGTGATCAAAAAGACATAAGAAAAATCCCTATTCACAATCGATGGCTAGAAAATCAAAATCTACGCACAGTACACAAACCACCTACACATAATTATACAGTAATACCCCCTCTCTCTATTTAAGCAAAGTAATATCGAAGTACGACGTCATAGGCATGGAGGTCAGAGTTCACGAGGTATAGAGTCAGAGGTAGTAGGAGAAGGAGTAGATGTTGGTTTGTAAGAGGACCAACATCGTGAATGTAAAGGCAACCAGCACGAAGTAGGCCATCCACGGGTAGACTGGGATTCCAAACATGGTGGCCTGTGTGATGTGATGTGGGGAGAAGGGAGGGAGACATTGAAGCCAGATGAAGAGATGAAGAGATGAAAGGAATGACAGACAATAATTATATACTGTACTGGCAAAACAAGCAAAGAAAATCGGTATAGACACACTTCTTGCATAATGAAGTGTATTACATCATTTCCATGACAACCACAACAACAAATAGCCTCAGGCACTTTTCTTTTTCTCAAACTTTCCAATGGTATTACGCATAGAGATGAAACTTGGTATGCATACTGAAGTGTAATCCTGCCATACAGTGACAGTGTAAGGAGAGACATATACAGACAGACCGTGTGTGGGAATGGTTAGCAGCACCATCTGTGCTAGTCCTGCTCACCCTGAGTTTGACTGCCTGTGTGAATGAGACGAAGGAATCGAGGTCCAGTTGGGGGGTGTGGCTGTACTGGAGTGGCCTCGTTCGGATGAGTGTTCCCGTCTCTTTCAATTTCTCACAGGCGTCCGTCACCCTCGCTGCCTGGGGAGAGAGGGGGGGGGGAGAGAGACCAGTTTTGTCAGGAGGATTTTGAAAGGGCTACAAACAGAAAGGAGAGTATATACTGTGAAACGAGCACTCTAATGGACGAAGGTGTCTAGCTTTATCTGTCCTTGGTGGTCTTTTCAAAATGATAAATAAATACTGAGATTGTCAAAATTGAGATTGTGAAAATGTGTAGCTATTGGGGAATGGCTTTAGCTGCATAAACAGCACCAATTATAATATGGGAGTTGTGGGGGGGGGGGGGGTTAAAATGGAAATACGGGCAGTATAAAGGGTTAAGGAATGCAGGCAGTAAAGGGTTTAAATTAAAGATACCTGTATGAAGGGGAAGCAGACAAGGCCCATCCACAGTAGGACGTTTAACCCTGCAGTCACCGTCGCAAGCGTCTTGTCGAAGTAGCCCATGTTGAACGTGCTGATTTTGTCCAATGTCACAATGGCTGGAGAGGGAGCCAGTGAGGAAAGGGTTAAAGAGAGTATCACGTGACAGTCACGTGACCTCACCGAGGACACCGGCAGAGCCGAGGTTGTAGAGAATGAGAGCAGTAGCAGCTGCAGTTTTACCATTCAGTACTCTCAGATATTTCCTGATCTCCATAATGTCCTGACAGATGAAGACAAGGAACGGACTAAAATATACGTACGCAGCTGTCGTGGCCAAAATTGTTACGTACATTTATGTACCACACGCAAAATTTCTGTTTCTGCTCTTGAAAGTCTTTTCACTGTGTTTAGCAGCTATAAAACAATTTATTGTTCAGCTGGACTCCCCTATTTTTCTTTAGCAAGGAATCCAGGACACCTCTGTAATAAGGACACCTCCTCTGTAATTATGACACCCCTGTAATAAGGACACCTCCTCTGTAATTAGGACACCCCTGGAATAAGGACACCTCCTCTGTAATTAGGACACCCCTGGAATAAGGACACCTCTCTGTAATTAGGACACCCCTGGAATAAGGACACCTCCTCTGTAATTAGACGCCCTGGAATAAGGACACCTCCCTGTAATTAGGACCCCCTGGAATAAGGACACCTCCTCTGTAATTAGGACACCCTGTAATAAGGACACCTCTCTGTAATTAGACACCTCCTCTGTAATTGACACCCCTGGAATAAGGACACCTCCTCTGTAATTAGGACACCCCTGGAATAAGGACACCTCCTCTGTAATTAGGACACCCCTGTAATAAGGACACCTCCTCTGTAATTAGGACACCCCTGGAATAAGGACACCTCCTCTGTAATTATGACACCCGGAATAAGGACACTCTCTGTAATTAGGACACCTTGTAATAAGGACACCTCTGAATAAGGACACCTCCTCTGTAATTAGGACACCCCTGGAATAAGGACACCTCCTCTGTAATTAGGACACCCCTGGAATAAGGACACCTCCTCTGTAATTAGGACACCCCTGGAATAAGGACACCTCTGGAATAAGGACACCTCACTAATACGGACACTATCTCCTGCCCCGTTGGTGTCTGGATTAGAGGGTTTCCACAGTTCCAACTCGACATTACCTTAATGGCCTCATCAACATCATTGTATTGTTTTTGCTCCACCAGTCCCCTGACTGACTTTAGTAGGTAGACCAACATCTCGCTCTGTGCCGCGTAGTTCATCACTGCCGCCACGTAGACCATGTCGAACGTGAAGAACCCAATCAGGGAGAGGATTATCAGGAGCAGTTTACCACCGTGTTCAAATCTGAGGAGACAGGAGGAGGAGGAGACAGGAGGAGGGGGAGGGGGAGGGGGAGGGGGAGAGAGGAGGAGACAGGAGGAGGGGGGGGGGGGAGCAGTAATATTCAGTAGAACCTTTGACAAACGACACTCCCAGTAAGTTCACATGGCGAGAGAGAGAGAGAGAGAGAGATTGAAAAAAAAGGGAAGTCAGGAGCAACAACTTAATAAGATAAGAGAGGGCAGCTCCCCAGGTCACAACATGATGTTCCACTGTATTGGTGGCTACGTCCCATTAGGCAGCTAGTATTGTATTAGGTTCAGTAGGCTCTCTGCATGAATGTGGGGCTAGTAGGCTGGAATCAAAACACATTCAACAACCCCTCAGCCCTGTGCTACTTGCCACACACACACGTGACCCTACAACGAAGGAGTTATCAAGGTGTGGAGTGTTGGCTCACGTGGTGTCTGAGTTCCAGCGGATGATAGTCTCTGGTTCAAACATTCTCACCGTGCGAGCCGTCATCAGCCGCACGGCAAACGACACCAGAATCCACAGCAGAGCAACCACAAGGAACGCTCTGTGGAGAGAAAGAGTTAAACACGTCTCAATAGTGGATCTTGTTGATTTAAGAGTGCCAATTACGACTTTGAAATTACTCAACCAGTAATACAGTGGAACAGTATACGGAAAAATAGAAACTTACATTTATTTCTCACAAACAACTCAACTTGCATGCAGTAAATGTAAGTTAACTCCTTTTGAAGTCGTATATTTAAAAGTTTGACTATTACAAATGCACAGTGTATGGTACTTTGACATACAAGATTGTGGCGATCATGGGCCAGTTACTGGTCTTCCCCTTCCCCTGGGTACTCTGCTTGATAAACACCTGAGAAACACATCAGGTCACATGACAATCATGTGAGGTCACACGACAACCATTGTGAGGTCACATGATAATCAAGAGAACAATATGAAGATTACATGACAGTTTGAGAACACATAAGAACATTTGAAGTCACGTGACAATTTGTGAAGTCACATGACAACCATTGTGAGTCATGTGAGGTCACATGACCCCTCACCTTCTCGGCCAGGTTGGAGAGGTACTCAGTTTCCCCACGGGAGAAGAGGTAGAGGCCGAACCAGTACGTGACCAGGAGGAGGAGATCAAAGAAGACAAATGAACTGATGACGTGCTCTGTGCACACTATCTCTCTGACTGTTTCGTTTTTGCTGTTCAGAAATGCTTTAGCCGGCGTGAACTGTAGCGAGGGAGGGAGGGAGAAAAAAAACCAAGAATATCGAATGTCCAAATGCACTAAGTACTATGTATAAGAGAGTAGAATTGTCGCTTTTAACTCTGCCAAATTTCTCTTTATTTTTAGTTATTTCGTTCAAAGGCCTGTGCTGTGTTCAAAAGGTTAGGCAGCTATAGTGTTCCTGTTGTACAACATTCCTTTGTGCAGATGAACCACACCCCTGAAATAAAGGCCACCTCTCTCTCTCTCTCTCCTTATCGTTAAAAAGAGATGTAAGAGAGGGGAGGGGCTGCTGACCCGGTCTCTAGGGAAGCAGGAGAGTATCTGTGTCAGCGACGTGGCGATGATGACCAGCGTCCACATGACGACCAACAGAATTCTTACTGGAATGAGCCACTTCGGGTCTCCATCTCTCGTGAACGGAGTCCAGCCCAACTGGAGAGAGGGAGGGAGAGGGAGGGATTTGAGAAAAGCAGAGAGGTAGGTAGAAAGAGGATAATAAATGAGAGATCAGTGGATTATGTTTAGCAATAGCAGCTATGGATTACAAATACTAGAACGAATGGCGAGCAGTTTAATTTTTCGCACATTTCATGTTTATTTAGAATCACAGAATAATACGGTATGTGCAGTGGCAGTGCGAGTCACAACATACTGTATAATACCCTGCATTCACACGATTAGGTGGGCTTTCTTCGCTCACAAAATTTTGAGGACAAAGGTGTATTACATGTGATTACACAACTCACGATTCGAAGGACCAAGCGATAAGGTCGTAGAACCCACTTCTCACACTGCTGCAAGGCCTGGGCCACGGGGTCATTGTCCTGGAAACAAAGGCAACAAACAAACAACAATGGATAAATGGCTGTTCTATACGCTATACCCTCCCTCATTTGTAAATACACCCACTTCCTGCTCAATAGGGACTATCTTGTAGACAAGGTTTGCGTATAAAATATTCTGCACAGAAAATATTCGCTACATTATAACACCACCGAATGGATGTTGATACAGTGTTGTGGTGCATGGTGGCCGTAGAACCTGCAGCTGTCATAGTAGCTATTATTAGACCACACCAACTGTTTTTGGGACACATGAGCGAGCATGCATGCCTGGCAGGTAAAAGCAATTCCCAAAACTGTAGTAATGCCTAATGGAGTGGGTGCACCACTAGCTACAAGTTGCCTGCTACATCTGGAAGCCATGCCTGCAAGCCAGCGCCATTTTTTTCATATGCTCCACACACACGCGCTAGACACCGGACACTGTGCAAACGGGCAGAACAGGCGACCGCTCATTTTCCAGCTCCTAAATGCAACGAGGGAAGTCAGTCAGCCGGCATATCACTACCAAACTACCCGGACAACGGTTTTTTATAACCCACACAAAACTGCACGAGCTTCCGGTTCCCCTCTCTTCCTCCATTTTACCTCGACCCTGAAAAAGTCGTCCGTGCTTGCGGGAGACGAGGTCGAGCGATGTCTTAGCGACTCCTCCACGCTGCTCGTTGCCTGGCTCTCCCCCAGCCCGCGCCCGTCTTCCAGCTTGGCCGCCATGTTGATGCTTCCCACCGTCTCCTCTTCTGCCACGAACTTAGCTGTGTCTGAAGAACTGTTGTAGCGAAACGACATGCCGCGGGCTCGCTCTGCGCCAAGTAGCGGCACTAGCTCTGTCGCCATTAAATATCCGGATACTCTCCGGATACTCTAGTAATCCACCGTAATCTATCAATTGAGGTCACGAAAAATGATTGAGCAACGCCTACACCGCGGGGCGATGCTACTAGCCACGCCTACCATTCTCGCGTGCGAAGCTCGGTTCTCTTTGCTCAACAACTGACAGACTGCTCTGTGGATGATGGCGGAGATGGTGGATTCAGAGGCCGGAGTGGTCATATCTAGCAGAGAGGGAGGCGAATTCACGGTACATGTCCGTTTCGGGAGCGAGAAACATGACGTCACCGAAGAGTCTACTGCTGGCGCTGCAGTGAACGGTGTGGGAGGAAGAGAGGCGGACGAAGAGGCGGCAGAGAGTGCCTTATTGGAAGGGGAAGACCCTGAATCAGTGAGCAGTTGATCAGTAAGTCTGGTAAATCGTGACTTTTTCTATTTCCTATTCACAGTGTACAGAAGATGAATCGGACACAACTGCTCTAGTGAAACTATCGGTTGGTTGCCCGTTCTCCTCGTAATCATTTCGAGTCTCTTTCGTGCGTAGAGTGAGACCGGGGAGGGAGGGGAGGAGGAGGAGGAGAGGGGGAGGGCAGGAAGAAAGAAGCAGAGCAGTATCCTGGGGGCAAGTTTCAACTTTACGAATTCCATCATTGGTGCTGGCATCATTGGTAAAGATGGAGGGAGGGGAGGGAGAGGGATGTATATACTGTGTCAAGATGAGAGAGAGAATTATTAGTGGCATAAAAACAGCAGCATTTTTAGCCATGCTCGCTGTCAGCTGAGATATTGTTAATTATAATAATATTGGTGAACGAGGGGACCGACCATCCTAGGCGCTCAGAGTCCTTTTCTTTCATTTACTGTATAGCTATTTGTACGTTTGTAAGAAGTCCATAGCGTATGTACTCAAAATAGTATGTGTGACAACACTGAAAGTTTGTACCAGTGTTCTCAATGATGTGTGTGTATTTAGAGACATTTCTGTTGTTGTTCTAATTAGAGAGCAGCGTGTGTTGCGTTCTAATTAGAGAGCAGTGTGTGTTGCTATGCAGGTATTCCAGCTGCCATAAGATTGGCTGGGTTCGTACCTGGAGTGATCCTCCTCGTGTTGGTTGCCGTGATAACTGATTACACCGTGTTACTCCTGATCAAGAACGGAATCATCTCCAACAAGTTTTCCTACCAGGTGAGTGGGTCATGTGACCAGGGCTCTTGATCATGTGACCCTCGTGTGATGATCATGTGACAGGAGATGATCACTGAGGCGTTTGGTCGACCTGGGTTCTGGGTTCTTACTATCACACAACTCCTCTTCCCTTTCTTGGTCAGTAAACATTCCTCCACACATACATCTTCTGAAGTATATATAATTATTCTTAGGAGAAACTTGCATCTAGTGTTTGTATTTTTTCCTCTCCCTGGCTCTTTCAGCTACTGCAGGATATGTTTTATCTTTTCCTCTCCCTGGCTCTTTCAGCTACTGCAGGATATGTTTTATCTTTTCCTCTCCCTGGCTCTTTCAGCTACTGCAGGATATGTTGTATCTTTTCCTCTCCCTGGCTCTTTCAGCTACTGCAGGATATGTTGTATCTTTTCCTCTCCCTGGCTCTTTCAGCTACTGCAGGATATGTTGTATTTTTTCCTCTCCCTGGCTCTTTCAGCTACTGCAGGATATGTTGTATCTTTTCCTCTCCCTGGCTCTTTCAGCTACTGCAGGATATGTTGTATTTTTTCCTCTCCCTGGCTCTTTCAGCTACTGCAGGATATGTTGTATTTTCCTCTCCCTGGCTCTTTCAGCTACTGCAGGGATATGTTGTATTTTTCCTCTCCCTGGCTCTTTCAGCTTACTGCAGGATATGTTGTATTTTTTCCTCTCCCGGCTCTTTCAGCTACTGCAGGATATGTTGTATTTTTTCCTCTCCCTGGCTCTTTCAGCTACTGCAGGATATGTTGTATTTTTTCCTCTCCCTGGCTCTTTCAGCTACTGCAGGATATGTTGTATTTTTCCTCTCCCTGGCTCTTTCAGCTACTGCAGGATATGTTGTATTTTTCCTCTCCCTGGCTCTTTCAGCTACTGCAGGAATGTTGATCTTTCCTCTCCCTGGCTCTTTCAGCTACTGCAGGATATGTTGTATTTTTTCCTCTCCCTGGCTCTTTCAGCTACTGCAGGATATGTTGTATTTTTCCTCTCCCTGGCTCTTTCAGCTACTGCAGGATATGTTGTATCTTTTCCTCTCCCTGGCTCTTTCAGCTACTGCAGGATATGTTGTATCTTTTCCTCTCCCTGGCTCTTTCAGCTACTGCAGGATATGTTGTATTTTTTCCTCTCCCTGGCTCTTTCAGCTACTGCAGGATATGTTGTATCTTTTTCCTCTCCCTGGCTCTTTCAGCTACTGCAGGATATGTTGTATTTTTCCTCTCCCTGGCTCTTTCAGCTACTGCAGGATATGTTGTATATCTTTTCCTCTCCCTGGCTCTTTCAGCTACTGCAGGATATGTTGTATTTTTTCCTCTCCCTGGCTCTTTCAGCTACTGCAGGATATGTTGTATCTTTTCCTCTCCCTGGCTCTTTCAGCTACTGCAGGATATGTTGTATTTTTTCCTCTCCCTGGCTCTTTCAGCTACTGCAGGATATGTTGTATTTTTTCCTCTCCCTGGCTCTTTCAGCTACTGCAGATTTTTGTAGACGATATGAGAAAGTTGGTATTTTTCCTCTCCCTGGCTCTTTCAGCTACTGCAGGATATGTTGTATCTTTTCCTCTCCCTGGCTCTTTCAGCTACTGCAGGATATGTTGTATTTTTTCCTCTCCCTGGCTCTTTCAGCTACTGCAGGATATGTTGTATCTTTTCCTCTCCCTGGCTCTTTCAGCTACTGCAGGATATGTGTATCTTTTCCTCTCCCTGGCTCTTTCAGCTACTGCAGGATATGTTGTATCTTTTCCTCTCCCTGGCTCTTTCAGCTACTGCAGGATATGTTGTATCTTTTCCTCTCCCTGGCTCTTTCAGCTACTGCAGGATATGTTGTATTTTTTCCTCTCCCTGGCTCTTTCAGCTACTGCAGGATATGTTGTAATCTTTTCCTCTCCCTGGCTCTTTCAGCTACTGCAGGATATGTTGTATTTTTTCCTCTCCCTGGCTCTTTCAGCTACTGCAGGATATGTTGTATTTTTTCCTCTCCCTGGCTCTTTCAGCTACTGCAGGATATGTTGTATTTTTTCCTCTCCCTGGCTCTTTCAGCTACTGCAGGATATGTGTATATCTTTCCTCTCCCTGGCTCTTTCAGCTACTTTCTGCAGGATAGTGTTGTATCGTTTCCTTCGCTCTCCTGCGTTCTCCTTTTTCTCACGTCTACTGCAGATATGCTGGATTTTTCTCTCTACTGGCATCTGTCAGCTACTGAGTTCTGTTGATCTTTGCCTCTCCTTCTCGCTTCTTCAGCTACTGCCGGATATGTTGTAGCTTTTCCTCTCCTGCTCTATTCAGCATCTAGCAGCATATGTTTATCTTTTCCTCTCCCTGACTCTCTCAGATACTTGCATGGACATTGTCTGTCAGCTTTGCTCTCCTGGCATCTTTCAGCTACTGCAGCTATGCATTTTTTCAGTCTCCCTGAGCTCTTTCAGCGACGGCAGGATATGTTGTATTTTTCCCTCCTGGCTCTTTCAGCTACGCAGGATATGTTGTATCTTTTCCTCTCCCTGGCTCTTTCAGCTACTGCAGGATATGTTGTAATAGTAGGAGACACCTTCAGTCGGATAATCGAAGAATTCTGTGAGTAAACAATGTCTCATGTCTCGAGACAGTAACAACCCCTCTGTCGCGCTCCCTTCGTTTCAATCACACTACTCCCAGCTTTCCTCGCCGCTCCCTCTCTCTCCCTCCTCTTTCTATCCCTCTTCTCTCTTTCTTCTTCTTCTTCTTCTTTCTTCTGAACCTCTCCTCCCTCCCTCCCACCAGTTGTGGTAGCTGGCACAGAGCCACTGGCCTGGGTCATCAACACATCAGTCATAAAGACAGCCACCATCATCCTGATCATGCTCCCTCTCTCCCTCCTCCGGAACATCGCCATGCTGGAGAAGGTGTGGCCTGTTACTATGACAGTGGTTGCCAGGCTACCAAACTCTCTCTCCCCCCAGTTTTCGGCCCTGGCAGTGCTGTTTGTTACGGTTATTGTTTTGTTCACCGTTGCCAAGGCAGCAACTTACTACTGTAGTGTGTAAGCCACACCCCTCTTCTCTGTATGTTTTAGGGTAAAGTTTTTGAACCTCTGAAAAATAACTCTTTCGTTAGAGGACACCTCTATGAAAGACAATGGTTCTGCCCCATATAATTATGAATAAGTAAACACTGCATTAATTATGTATTATTCAGAGTTTTAACTGCACTTGAAGAATAATACTGTAAACATTAAAATTGGAGTCCTAAAGTATTCTTGCCTCGTATTCTCTCTTCCTCTCTCCCTCAAAATTCAGTCGCTGTTTTCTTCCGTCATGTTGTGATACTCCGATCTCCATTTGGGTCATCAACACTCACTTCATTGAGGTAATACAACTACTGTCGGCATACATACATACATACATACATACATACCTACATACGTACATATACATACATACATACATACATACATACATACATACATACATACATACATACATACATACATACAGTACTGTCAATGGTCACTTTGTCTTTCTCTTTTTCCACAGTCTGTGGGGATCATGGCCTTTGGTGAGTATTATAGAAATCCATATTTTTACTCTTTGTGTTCTTTTATTCTACCAACCAACGATCATTTCAACACTACGATGATAGATCCTAGAGGAATAACTGTGTGTCCACGCATTTCAGTTTGTCGTGCATGCCTCATTCTCTCCTCTCCCTCCTCTCTCTCCCTCTCTCCCTCTCCTCTCCTCCTCTCCTCTCCCTCCCTCCCTCCAGCCTTTGTCTGCCACCACAATACATATTTGATATATGGTTCTCTATTGAGGAGATCGTACACCAGGTTCTCGGCGGTGTCCCACATGTCTGTCTCCGGGAGTGCCGTCTTCTGCACCGTCCTGGGTCTTGCTGGCTTCCTCTCCTTCATGAACGCAACCAAAGGTATATATACATGTCTCAACAACTTGGTAACGAGGTAGAAAGGCAAGGCAGGGCAAACAGTCAACTACACCCAGGACAACTCTAAGAAGAGCTGCCCTGGATGGGATTCGAACCCACGACACTCTGCAGTCTAGGCGAGCACTATACCAACTGAGCTACCAGGGAAACTCAGCTGGTACATGTATATACATGTTATGATATGCGCACTTTGTAAACTACACGAGTGTTGTTAATGGTGACTTGCCTTGTGATCATGTATGTTGGACTCAAATTTTGCACACATGCAGTGTACATACACATAGAGTGAAGTTTTTAAACTGTTGTTTACTGTTGTTGTTGTTTTTGTTGTTTATTTGTTAGGTGATCTTCTCAACAACTATTGTGTGGACGACTGGGTAGCAACGGTTGCTAGGTTCCTCTATGCGTGTGTCATCATGCTAACATTCCCCATCGAGATTTTCGTCTGCCGTGAGGTGGGTTAGACCCTTTGCTAATGGAACGTAATTAAATTAGCACGTTGACATAATGTTCCAGGTTCTGGAGATTGTGTTGTCACGGTTACCATACCGGGTGATATCGTGGGTTCGTCAGGGGAGGGTTAAACGAGCGTTGAGCCGGTTCCTCTTCTCCCCGCGGCATTCCTCTCTTCCCCGCCACGTTATCCTCACCCTCGTCCTCGTCTTGTTCAGTCTGGGGGTGGGGCTTACGACCGACGACCTCAGCATTGTACTGGGGTTCAATGTGAGCCAATTTCAGCAGGGGGTCGGGGGTCAGGGGGCCTAAAATTGTTTGATGAAGGGTTTAAGACTGGCCACTCGTGAAATTTGTCAAAAACCCGCCACTGCACAATGCACAATGTGGTGCATGTTGTGTGTGTGTGTGTGCACATGTACAGTATGTATACATGGTTTTGTCTATACTGTATAAATACGCATGAAACTCGGTAATTTAAATCCCCACCCCCCCTCTCTCTCTCCAGGGGTGTCTGATGGCCACTCCAATGGCGTTCATCCTCCCAACTGCCTCGTATCTCCGTCTCACGAGAGGTGGGCGGAGTCACTGGTACTCTAGAGACAGACTCATCGCCTGGGCCGTCATGGTGTTTGGAGTCATCGTCATGGTGATTGGCACCGCCCTCTCCATTGAGCAGGTGCGAGTGTTTTTGTGGGTGTGCACTAAATAGGTAAATCCAATCCCAATTGCCAATGAGCTTGCACAGTTTTGGTGCCTTGCACGATTTTCCTTGCAATTTTTTCTCTGCTAAAAAAAATATTAGGTTAGGAAATTTGTATTAGACAAGAGGATTGCTATTTTGCCACTGAATTGAAAAGAATCTCTCCTATTTTCCTCCTCACAAGTTTGCTATTTGTCACCGAACTGTAAAATGTTCTTCATCAAAAACTGATGTCTCTTCTCTTCCTCTTCGCAGGCGGTCCAGAGTTTCTCTCACCGAGGAACGTCTCGCCTGGCCTACTGCCCCGACACAAGCTCCGCCCACCAGTCCCTCTCCACCTGCTGTAGTCTCATTGATTCCACTGTCAACCTGACCCTCCACGTTCCCCTCTGTGACTGCTCGTCTTTCTGTCACAACTCGTCCATTCTCACCTCCCCCGATCTCTACTGCTAGCCCTAGCAGTTTCCTAAAGTCATGATCATTCATTTTATCTTAATTGTATAATTATAATTCTCTTTTTTTAAAACCCTTTGGACGCCATAAGCGAAATTGATGTTAGCGCCTGTAGTATTATAACTCGACCTGATCCGTCTCACTCTGTGTTTCTTGGAGGCACAAGAAGTCACAACGAAGGGCATATATTGACTCCCGCATGCTATCTACTACTGTAATGTAGCTATATAGCCAGTGTCAGACTCTCCGCAAGCTACTATATAGCTCTTGGCCCAACCCATCAAACCGCACATACGCAGTGCGCGCCGAGGGTTTGCACTTCAGTGTTGTTATCCACTTATGGAGGCTCTGGAGTCTGGACACATTATCTATACCCGTGGCTGGTTAAGTGTATGTGTATAATACACAGTTGTTGCAGTCTCTGCAAAAACCATTGTCTAATTTTTACACAAGGATAAAAAGCGCTAATCCTAACATTAAAGTGCAGAATACATAAAGTGTACAGAGCTAAAGCAAACATTTAGTAGTGGTAACACTTAAAGTGTACCTCAAAATTATTTTTATCGTGAATAAAAATTCTCACAGCTTCAGTTCAAACTTGTACACCTGTATCATGAACTTGTCGTCATGGAGATACGGCTCCAGGTCGTCGTGGGCAACCAGCTTGTGGCTCTGAGCATAGCCGCTCGTCTCGAATTCCCCGGACACCTTACTCCGCGTGAATGTCTCTCCATTCACATGCTCTCTCTCCCACATCTTCGTTCGATGGTTGAAGATCCTCACGTGAATCGGTAGCTTCACGTTCCACTTCAGCCTGTCCGTGCTGGCGTCTTTCATTTTGTAGAACTCGACCGAAACGTGGGTACCGGCTCCCGAGCGGAACCCGTTTGGCCACACCCCCAGGCACATCTTGTAGCCCTCGCGGGAGTAAAACGGGTCACTGCGCCACTCCTTGTTGCCTTCCTTCAGTTTGAAAAAGTTTCTGATCTCGAAACCGCACGGCGGAAGTCGTCGTTGCGGATCTATGACCTTGACCCCTGGAAGGTCTCCGTCTCCCAATCCCACAGAGGGTATCAGGTCCAGCATGGAATGGGGTACCGATCCCACAGAGGGTACCAGGTCCAGCCTGGATTGGGGTACGTAAGTGGTTGTGACAGGTTTAGGCTTTCGGTTTGCATCTTCCTCACTCACGTGCTTGGCAAGTGGGATGGGGGCAACTACTGATGATGATTCAACACCCTGTATTGGTATTATCCTTGGTGTACTCAAGACCCAGTCGGAGGTCACAGAACGAGAAGCCGCCTTGCTCTTACCACGGCGCACATAGCGTTGCACTGGAGAAACTGTAGCTGCAGGTTCCACCTTCTCTCCTCCAATGATTTTCACTCTCGTTTCTTCCATCTTCTTCTCCATATTGGTCTTCAATGCAGACATTTCGGCAGTTATCTTTCCCTCCGTTGCCTTGATGTGTGTTTCTACAGCCCTCACCTTCTCCCCCACAGCACCAATTTCCCTCCTCACCTCCTCCCTCTTCCCACCCTCCTTCACCAGCTCCCTCATCACCGAACTCTCCACTTCCTTCATGGACTTCTTCACCTCGTCGACAACTGTCCTCTCTACTTCCCCCAGTGCCCTCCGCATTGTTTCCTCTGTCGTCTTGGCAACTAACTCCCTCTCTTCCTTCAAGGTCATCTCCCAGTTCTTGAAGTCTTCCCGGGCCGCCTCGCGATCCTGTTCAACCTGTTTTACCAGTTCGTCTAGTTTTCCCACCCCCTTCTCCTGTTCCTCCGTCATTTCCTGCACAGCTAGTCTACGGTTCTCATCCACCGCCCCACGCACACCCTCCACTTCCTTCTTCAGCTCCCGGAGAAACATCTCCGTTTCTCGCAGCCGTTCAGTCACGACTGTCTTCACAATCTCCTCAGTCAGTACCGGCTCCTGTAAATTCTCATCGTTCTGGTTCTCACGTTGTTGTGACTCCATCCACTCAGACTGGGCAGCCACCCCAGCCTCCACAGCCTGAACTCGCTGGCCCAGCTCCCTCTCAAGACGAACAACGTCACCTCGAAGAGCTTCGATCTGCGCGTCTTTCTCGGTGAGTTTCTCGTTCAGTTGCCGAGTCAAGTCCAGGTTGGCGGAACACATTAGCATTGTGTGGTGCATCTGCATGTTTTGTATGTGAGCGGCGAGCTGTGAGCGAACAAGCTCCTCTGTGCACCCCACGTGGCTGAATTTACAAGCGACCTGTTGGAGGGGGCAGTCCCTGTCGAGATGAACACTCAGCTGGCATCTGGGTACCTGGCGAGCCTCGCACTGATTCGGACAATGTACGGGGACTTGTGCACATCCCTCAGTGTGCTCTTGCGCGGCTTCGCGAAGCCCAGCGAACTGGCAGTGCGGGCAGCTCCACGGCTGCTTCGGACACGTCCGCATGTGCGCGTCTTTATCGAAGAGTTGCCCCGTCCACACGCAACCGCCTCCGTTGTACCGACACCGCACTTGCAGCTCCTTGATCTTTCTCTGCATGTAGATGTCCCGGACCGCGGGGAAATTGGGTCTGTTGCACATCGGGCACGGCTTTCCCTCCCTCTGCAGACGCTCCACCACCTCACGGGAGAGGTGGTGCCCGCAGCAACCCGTCTGGAACGGCTCCAACAACAGATCCAGACTCACGGCGCAGTAGTAGTCACGCGGCGGTTCCTCCAGGAAGTCGTGCTCCTGGTCAGGTGAGACTGAGCGCCCTCCGCCCGCTGTAGCCGGCATGGCGCTCGCCTGCTCTCTCGCCGCCATTTCTTCCGCGCAGCTTCTATTTGGAGTCGCCATTTTGTTAGGGGGCGTGGTCCACCCACTAACCCACGCGCATGCGCACATGTCAACTCTTTGCGCCTGCGCACTCTAACTCACAGTCATACATTAGCTAATTCTATTACACCACCAAACTCATACACGGAAGTCACGTGACTATCATGTGTCTAGTGTGAACTCTCGTCTTCGTTTCAGTTGTTCTATTCTTCTCTTGAGGAGGTCAGTTTCAGTCTTGGAGTCTTCATTGTCTGTCTGAAGGCCGCGGATCTGAGGAGCAAACACACACATTTAGCTTCAACAGCCGCAGAATCTAATGCCGTTAGCACCCAAGGAAAATACAGCCTTTTTTACTAGACCTTCAATGTAGGTCGGAAACATTTTCAAACAAAGACGCTGTGTATTTTCACAATATTCAAGAAAATGTTAGGAAACTGCTCAATAATTATTATAACACTTGCTTTGAAGCCCCTCATTTAAGGACACCCCTAAATGAGGACACCTCTTTAATCAGGACACGTTATTCTGCCCCAATGGTGTCCAGATAGAGAGGTGTTTCAACTGCATGTATGTTCACCTCTTTGCTCAGTTTCCTCTTCTCTTTCATCAACTCATCCTCCCTCTCTTCCTGCAGAGTGTGACAGTCACATGACATTTTGTCTATATCACATGACCTCAGACTCTGGTCACATGACTAGTCACATGATCTGGGACTCACCAATTCCTTGATCTGGTTCTTGTAGCGTTCCACTTGTCCTTTTAATCTAGTCACCTGACAAAATGGAGAACATTATGATGACCAAATATAGTGGCAAATGCTTCATTGTGTATATATAATAAGCTCAGTGCACTATTCGGCCAATTAGCTATATGGCTTCTTTCAGATACTTATTCTTTTTAAAAGGTATCCAAACTGTAAGTGAACAATACATATTTGCGAAAATGGCGGCATTATTATCTGCAGGGTCGACGTTTCCTGGAAAATGAATGATAACAACGACACGTTTCGAGCACCTATCATGCTTCTCAACAGCAAGATTTAAACGACTGATAAAATTGTTTGTGATTGGAGGGGCTTACCGTTCCGTCGAGTCGCGAATTCTCAGCCTCTGAAATCTGCAGCTTTGTCTTGTACTCGCTGACCATTCTTGTACTGACCTCTGGTGACACGGCACATCAAACAGAATACCCACATTATTGCACACAACATGTATCATATAGCAGTTATACTAGGACAAAAGCCACACATATTGATATACAATTACCATGATTCCAGTAAAACATCTTTGTATTGGCAGCAATATTAATCCAATTATGCCAAACTTATGGGGTGATATGAATGCACACCCAAAACTCGATGCTGGCTCTTGATATAACAAACAGTACAACACCTCTCTATGGACACCCCTGAAATGAGGACACCTCTCTAAGGACACCCCTGAAATGAGGACACCTCTCTAAGGACACCCCTGAAATGAGGACACCTCTCTAAGGACACCCCTGAAACGAGGACACCTCTCTAAGGACACACCTGAAATGAGGACACCTCTCTAAGGACACACCTGAAATGAGGACACCTCTCTAAGGACACCCCTGAAACGAGGACACCTCTCTAAGGACACCCCTGACATGAGGACACCTCTCTAAGGACACCCCTGAAATGAGGACACCTCTCTAAGGACACCCCTGAAATGAGGACACCTCTCTAAGGACACACCCTGAAATGAGGACACCTCTCTAAGGACACACCTGAAATGAGGACACCTCTCTAAGGACACACCTGAAATGAGGACACCTCTCTAAGGACACCCCTGAAATGAGGACACCTCTCTAAGGACACCCCTGAAATGAGGACACCTCTCTAAGGACACACCTGAAATGAGGACACCTCTCTAAGGACACACCTGAAATGAGGACACCTCTCTAAGGACACACCCTGAAATGAGGACACCTCTCTAAGGACACACCTGAAATGAGGACACCTCTCTAAGGACACACCTGAACCGAGGACACCTCTCTAAGGACACACCTGAAATGAGGACACCTCTCTAAGGACACACCTGAAATGAGGACACCTCTCTAAGGACACACCTGAAACGAGGACACCTCTCTAAGGACACACCTGAAATGAGGACACCTCTCTAAGGACACACCTGAAACGAGGACACCTCTCTAAGGACACACCTGAAACGAGGGCACCTCTCCTTTTCTTTCCCCAAGAACAGTTCTTGCTAACTCCCGAAATACGACACCCTTTCCTTTCCCAAAGAACAGTTCTTGCATGCACTGAAATAAGGACACTTTCTTCAGTCTCACTGGTGTCTGGATTAGCCATCAGTCAGTACATTGTGTAGGTTGCCACAATGTATTACGTAATAGTAACTCACGGACTATGTCCCTTGGTTGCTGGTCTCCGAGAACAGCTGAACTACTCTTCATTGACGACAACTCCTCCTTTAGCTCCGATATCTAACATCACAGTAATACAACACACAGAGTGCAAAGTCTGGCTTTGTCTTATTAGATAATGTTAATCCAGGCTCCATAGGGGGGAGGGTCAGAGGCTAGGGAGAAGGTGTGCTCTAAATAGACCTACCTCTTTGAGAAGTCTCTCTCTTTCTTCAGAGCTGATCATTTCTGGAGAGGAAAGAGGGACACAGTTAGTGAGCTGCAGACAGAGACGGGTGTACAGGGCACCACCTTGTGTCCCGATCGCTGTTTGTTCCTCGTCGTCCTCCCCAGTCGGCAACACCAGTCCATGTTTCTACAGACAAACCAAACCTTCACAAACCTTCACTCTATTATCAATCATATGGTAATACAGTAGATTCTCTCTCTAAGAACAAGGGAACTTCTTAAATGTGGACACCTCTCTACCATAAAGGACACGTTTCTTTCCCCAAGAACAGTTCTTGCATGCAGTTCAACCCCTGAAATAAGGACACCTCACTAACACTTCTGTCTCATTAATTAGTTCATGGATTAGAGGGGGTCAACCACCATATTCCACTTTGATAGGGCTTGCCTCTTGAAAGGCCAACAAACAAGGCAAAAAAGTTGCATGAACCATTTCATTGGGCTGTAGTCTTTGTGTACCTCAATAAACTGGTCTCGAAACTCAATCTGTTTCAGCAACATATCCTTCTCGCCCACCAGGGCCTCTTCCCTGTGCCCCAACTGGTTGCCCCTCTGTAAATTAACAATTACATCACCACTAGGTCACGTGAGAGGTCACATGACTCACAGACTGCTCTCTCGCAAGGTCGGCTCTTAGTTCCACCATCTTGTGATCCACGTCCTCTAATCTGGGGTGAAAAAACAAGTATATTCATTACTATTATTGTAGGAGTGTCTTTTCTAATTCTTTATAAAAGGGGCGTAGTGTGTATTAAACAAAGAAACTGCTAGAAAGCATAAACTGAAAGCTGGTGCGAAATATATTTTTTGTTGCGGCAAAATTCGTTGTCATTATCAAACTCTGAGAACATATCTTTAACAGCACAAAGAGGATTTTGTGACTCGTGGATAGACTTCAATTGCTGCTCACCTATCTTTGAGACTCTCGACCTGAAAGATGAGAGTTGTCTTCTCGTTGTAGAGCTGTGCACTGGACACCATTGCCTCCTTGTACTTGTCCTCCATGTCACTGAACCTCTCCTGAAGAGAGGAGGAAGGGAGGGAGGGTTACAGACACAAGAGAGGAGGAACTCTTAGAGGGAGGAAGTAACATTTGCAGGGAGAGAGAGAGAGAGAGTGTGTATTTGTACCTGCCAGACTTTAGAAGCTTCCAGACCGTTACTGATGCCAGAGTCACTACTGTCGACTACCTCCTTACTGCCCTTCGTCTGTGTGAGAGAGAGAGAGAGAGAGAGAGAGAGCAGGTAACATGATGTGTTGGTGCTTTTTGGGCTCTGCTTACCGATTTATAGCCCGAGTCTGAATCCTGAAAATGAAATGAAAAGTCTGTGAATCAACAAAACAAACAAACACACACACAGCCCCTCACAGTGTGGCCGTAGGACTTGGAGGGCGACCCATCTTCCTCTTCGTCTGAGTACTTTTGCTGAGCAAACATCAACAAATGTATTAGCGGAAACACCAAACAACTATTATAAATAATTATATATATATATGCATGTCAATCAATGTAAAGGCCTCCACCCATTCCAAGGACCATTTTTTCTCCATCTCATCAGTGAAACTGAAACTCAACACCATTGGCTATATTATACCTGTTCTAGTTTTTTCTGTTCGTCCCAATACTTCATAGCCTCGGCCTCTTTCTTCTTCTTGTCTTCGTACAGTTTGTCAGCCTGTTGGGTGCAGACAAAGAGACAAGTCATTAGTCACCGCGTCATTGATTCAAGATTAACAGAGCGGCACGTTTGGCAGCCAAGAATAGGCAAACAGTGTGCCACAAATGCCACAACATTGTGGGCGTGGAAAGAGAGAGGAGAGAGGAGAGTGGAGAGGAAAGAGGATAGGAGGCTCAAAAACTGCATCTCGACAGGTCCGAACATTCCCAAAGCCACATGAAAACTAAACATCATGTGTGTTATCACATGTATTCATCTACATAACCTTGTATAATGGTACACATATTGTACAACCCTCTCCATACCTACGTCTCTCTACTATCATACACACACACACACACATAGTACACATAGGCTAGTGTGAGCATGCATCCATAAGCATGCATCCTGTGCAGACCCACCCATGCTGCACTAATCCCCCTTCTCCCATTCTATACAAGTCCTGTGTACCTATAGTAGAGAGTGGAATGTCTTGTGTGCGTGGAGGTGTGCACTGTAGCTACAAGCCATAGCATGTACCCCTACAATAGCACACAACATCAACAGCCTCTCTCTCTCTATCTCACCCTAACCCCGAAACAACGGCCAATTTTGCCAAGAAAGACAAGAGAGATATGTTTTCAGCCTCTTAGCAGGCCAAGAAAGACAAGTGTTTGATTTTTTCTCTCACAGTTAACAAACACCCTAAATTGGCCCAGGACACTATAGTGATACACTACACAGACAAGCTACAGGTGATTTCCTTACAGGGGCTGTTCTAGTACTACAAGGAGCCAATGTCCCACCTGGTCTCGACCAAATATGGCAAATGTTTGGAAAGGAAGCAAAGGAGGGAGTGAATTTAACCCCTACAATTACGTGCTTAGTGTATATATACAGTGCATATATACAGTGCATATATACAGTGCATATACATATACCCACTATATACAGAGAGAGAATGTGGAGAGAGAGAGAAAGAAGAAAAGATGTGCTGTAGGGAGGGAAGCAGAGAGAAAGAACCTTCTTGTGCATGTCAGAGAGCGCGGTGTCTTCGTCCATGGAGAGATTTCCCATCTTGAGCGTGCTGCTGCTGGTCCGACTGCGACCGAGGGTCGAGCCATGTCGCGTCGGACTGTAGCTACTCTGACTAGAATAGCGTGAGCTCATCTCTGCAACCCAGCAGTCCACCGACGATCGGGAGAGGAAAGACGGAAATTTCGAGAAGAGTTTGTACTTGAATTCGAGAGGGAATAGTTGTAAAAACCTTTGGAGAAGTGCTTTCGTTTTCTGTGTTTATTGTCTGTTGAGACAGTGGTAGATGATTTGATACAGAGAGAGATGAGTCAGGTATATGCAACAGTACGTGGTTGATTGTCAGAGAGGGAAGAGAGGTGAGGGGAGGTGTGCGTAGTTTATTCAACGACGGAAGTGGAGAGGAGGAAAAGGAGTGGGAGAGGACGATTACACAAGCAGCAAATGTTTGTCCTGTAGGACAGCAGATGTTTGTCCTGTAGGACAGAAGATGTGACATGTACAATCAATCAAAAGTAAGACAGGGGATTGGGAAGACAACTAGTGATTGATGGTTGTCAAGAAAAGATACACAATTATAGAACAGAACTAGAACTAATGCAACATGTTATTGAAGAGGAAACGAGAGTACGAAATGCGTATTTAGAGTGTCGTTATGGTAGAGAAAGAACGTCTACATACGATGAATGTACAGCGGAATTCAAAAGACTAGGTTGGCTAGCTTTGCCTGCCAATTAACAATAACACTGTCAACACGACGATGCAAAAGTAAACATGTCGAATATTACTGTGCATACGTTAACAACGACATCAATTTGGCTCACGAGAGTGCGGTTAAGTACATATTAGACTCACTAAACAATGAGTTTGCTATAGGTATGCATACAACATGTTGTTTGAACTCTCTAATGCTGAACTAGATTATTTACTGATATCCAGCAGGCATGGCAAGACTACTAGCTATATACACATCAAGAAGTAAGGTTCTCTCTTAGTTGATCGCGGCCAGCAATATAATACGTTCAATTAAGGAACGGTCTGTGAACATGCACACATGAACAACGTCACCTATCGTTCACAGACGACGTTTCTCTCTAGCCGGCGGCCAGGTACAGCGCTCGGCAGCTCCCTCGTCTTGTGGTCTGGCGCTAACACGGTTTCCTTTCTCGTCTCTCTCATTCCATTAGCTCTTGGCCACCGACTTCCCTCTCATCCTGCTCCTACCGTACTTTACACCGTGAAAGTATTAGCTTATGGGTCACGTGATACGACGACGTCACTATTTTACTTCTCTCTAATTTAACGATAATAATAATTTTAAAATGTCTTAGAGAGGCAGCAGAGGAAGAAAAATGACCACTCTGCGCCCGTTCTGTTGCGACGATCTGTTTCGCTACAACAACGTGAACCTCGACCCGCTCACGGAGACCTACAACCTGGCCTTCTACCTCATGTACCTCACAAGGTAATACCCGCCAAATACCCGCGCGAAGTCTGATCGAGTCCTTGACCTTTGCCCTCTGCAGATGGCCGGAGTATATCCAGGTGGCGGAGTCTCCCAGCGGGAAAATCATGGGATACATCATGGGAAAATCCGAGGCTCGTCAGAATAACCCCTCGGACTGGCATGGTCACGTGACTGCAATATCTGTGGCAGGAGAGTATCGTCGTCTCGGGCTGGCCGCGTCTCTTATGAAGACTCTTGAAGACATTTCAGAGCAGAAGAAATGCTTCTTTGTCGATCTGTTTGTCCGCGTGAGTAACACCGTGGCTGTCGCAATGTACCGTAACCTTGGCTACGTGGTGTTTCGAACTATTGCCAGCTACTATACCGGGCCGCCGGACGAGGACGCTTTTGAAATGAGGAAGTCGTTGAGTCGAGATAAGGATAAATTAGCGGAGAGACCTTGTTCTGATCCGAGTCTACCTGTTGACGAGATGTGAGCTCTTTTTAGTGACACATTTCATCATTAGGGATTTTTCCTTCACCCTGTATATAAATGTGTACATATTCACTCACTGTTTAACACGACACTGTTTTTTGGTTGAGATGTGGGAGTTAGAGTTCTTTGTGTACTACTGTAGTCTCATGATCTACAGTTTTGTATGGAACATCCACAACTTTGAATGGGAGATATGTAACCGAGTAATGTTCTACATACAATATTACCGCTGTGTGTGAGGGAAAAGTGGTACATCTGTGTATATTGCTGCTGTACAGAAGAGTTGAGTGAGCTAGAATGAGGAAAATTTCAGCAGGCGCATGCGCATGCACGATGCCCTAGCGCACGCGAAGTTACGCGCGTGCTCCTGATGCGCGCTAAATTGCTGCGCAGTGACCTATGACCTTTAGGTTTCCACCTACTGCGCATGTTTGTTATCCGGCGCTGCTCGCTTGGCCGCCCAACTGAAGAAAGACGTATTCCCTGAAGCCCCCCAACACTAAACCTCTCAGTAAGCAACCAGTCAGTAGTAATATTGCGTGATTTTGTGTCCGTCGTCTCTACTCTTACAGAGAAAGACTAGCTGAAAGTTAGATCGGGAAAAAGGGGTGGGGCTGGTACGTCCTACATTTAGCCCAAAGTTAGTTAGTACAAAAGTAGTCGTCGATTCCACTTCGATCAAAGCAAGAAGAATGGCCGATCCGACAGGTACGCATTCACTTACAATACACTACGTAGCATGCGGTAGTCGCGCGCGAAAAACCCGTGGAGTATGATTTTCCCTGCAGGAGCGACGGATGTCGGTGGAACGTCGGCGGACGGTCTCAGTCCCCGGGTGACGGTTGGGATCATCGTAGGGATCTCCGGCATAGCTACTGTGCTTATAATGACGGTCCTGTATGCCCTCATGATCTGCAAGTACTGCATCTTCCGACACTATCGGAAAAAGCAACTCGACCTCGAGTCCTCGCAAATAGTCCGCGGGGCGCAGTTCCCGCTCGCCAGCCCAACCAGCTCGTTCACCACCCGCCAATACTCGCACCAGAATTCTTACGCTACGGCTCCCTACGGAACAAACCTGCCGCGCCCGTCCAGCGGATACCAAGTTTCCACATTCGATGACCCAGTAAGTGAATCACCCTGCTCTTAGCAAGCTTGAACAAAACGTTGACTGATATTTCATAGCTATTTGGTATATACGTAGCATGCTGCATATAGCTAGAATGATAACGGATTCTCTTTCTAATTTTTTCAGGGAAAAGACAGCTATACGAAAGGCAATGTCTAGCTTCTTTCTCTCTGTCTCCTCACACTTTGACTCCCTTCAAAATTTTGTAATTTCTATAGCTATGTCATATCAGTCAACTGTACCATATTTTTGCACATCAAAATTAACTGCACACCATAGGGAACTTTTCATGGTGTATATACATATAAAGTTTGTGTGAATATTTTATTGCAAATTATAGTGACTTTGGACACACACAATGGCCTTGGTTGCCAAGCGCTAGCTATAACAAATTACCACATGAATTTGTAAACAACCCATGCAGTATATTTGTCAGTATTGCCATGAATGTAATATCTTGGGTAGTGAATGTGGCATATAGGCATCCCACTTGTTCCTTAACTGCCACAGATGGGTTAGGCCCGCCTGCAAAAAACTGCGAATGCTTGTACATGCCTTGCTTACCACAACCCATAAAGTTACACTCCTTCCTATGGTGCATGTCTAAAGACTAATAATTGAGATCTATAATAGTTGGAACTAAGTATTATGCATACTCCCACCTAGCGATATGTGTGTGTCATTAATTGACTGCCAACTGGTTTCGCTTAGATGTTAAGTGCCTCTTACATCCCACACCTCAGTGCAAACACCAACACACACAACATGCAGCCAACATAAGCTGTATACTATATATGAGTCTGGCAAACACTTTGCCATCACTATACTACTAAAAATGACTGTATATATAAGACTGTAGCTATATAATGCAAGCCCATAGTGTGTCAGATGTAATGGCATACTCTAAGCTATATGCTTCATTTCAAGCAATTAAGGCCAGAAAATCACACCAATATTTAATCATGGGATGTGTCTGACCCATACAAAACCATTCGATTAATCAGCTTGGTTTATAGAGTATTGGGTTTAGCTTGCAAAATCCCCAATGAGAATTACTCTAGACCCTATACACTTCCCATGCCCAACAGAATAACACACTGGAGTCAGGAACCACAGCTGACAGACCGAGGACGAGACTACGCCGAAACTATCAGGACGACGATGTTCGTAGACAGAAGCGGCGCACGTACGTTGGATCTCGTCAGTTTCCCAGCAAGAACCTGGTCCTGCTCACGATGCTGGCAGAGGGGGAGTACGGCCCCGTATATAGAGGAGAGGCCTACGAAATAGTTCCACGGGAGGCTTCACAGAATCGTGACCGTCAAAATGCTCAAGGAAGACACAGACGATACAAAGAGGAACAAATTCGAGCAAGAGATCACAATGTTGGCACATCTCAACCATCTGAATGTGGTGGGAATTCTCGGGGTGTGTACAAACACGACTCCGGAGTGCATCATTCTAGACGGAGGAACCTCCCACATAGACCTCCTCGGTTACATCAGGGATAAGGGTATCGCCATGAAAGACGTGGAGGACGGCGAGAGTATCGTCCAAGAGTTCCGAGAGCTCCTCAAAATGGCCGACGAGGTGTGCATGGGACTGGCTTACCTGTCTTCTCAACACATCGTTCACAAGGACGTGGCACTGCGCAACTGCATCCGTGGGCAAAACAGAGTCATCAAAGTGTCACTTTGGAATCGGTTCAAAAATTACCCCGAAAGCTTAATATCTCTTCGGGAGGGATACTATACAATTGATGTATGAAGCAAGA